AGTTCTTAAAAGATGAAGGAAAGTACATCCAAGAGAACAAGTTAAGGGTCTTTCTTATTAGCCCACCGCTGCCGCCAGTTTTGCAGCCATTTAATGTTCTGAAGGAAGATTCACCTGACAATTCTTCAACTTTGAAGGAAAAACTGCTGATTGGACTTGAAAATTTTCCTCCTCATACGGTACATAATTAACCTGTCTGTAACATAAACACCATGGTAAGACTTGGCAATAGGTTCCTGCTATGTCTGGTTTTACCCTATGAAATACAAAAGAAAATCAAATTTGATAAAAACAGTCCAGGTTACATGTTTTAAAAAATCTTAATCTTTATATACTCCGTAGTGGAAATACATAAGTAGAATTAGTTCAAAACAATCTAAAGTTAATTGTTTGAATATGAGTTTTTTTAAAGTTGTCTCTTGGAAACAGCCTCTCTACCTTTGAGTAGGGGTAAGGTTTCCAAACAGACTCTAGTAGAGCCAGGAAACAGTTTTACTAAATTTAAAAATTGTCCATGAAATTTTTCTTGTGTCAAAAATGGCAGCATATTGAGAAGAATGAGGATACCAAAATTGGTGCCTCTAAAGATGAACCAAGGTTAGGAAAGAGTATGGAAGTTGAAATCAGAAGGGATGAGGTTGCAGAATCAATACCTGTGGAGGCTATAGAAACAACCGAAGTGACATTTTCCAAAAACTTTGAGGAAATGAAGGCAAAGCTTGGTGTGGAATCAACAACTGTGGATGATTTGGAAAGAAAAGAAGCGACATTTTCCAAGCCCTTTGAAGAGTTGAAGGCAAATTTAGGTACAAATCCAGATTATGTGGAACATATGGAAACAACCCAAGTAACACTCTCCAAAAACCGTGACGGTATGTTTGGAAATTTTGATCACATTAAATGCTAGGGGAAGGGAAAATATGTGAAGGAATGTTGCCTTCTTATGTTTGCTTTTACTTTGGTAATGCAAAGGAAAAGTAAATACGATTAGTTCTTTTTCTAATTTACATATATTTAGCTTTTTTAGTCTATGAATAATAGACATGAGCTAATAAAATGACTATCAACAAGTATGTAAAATAACCATTGAGTTTTGCCTATATTTCATTTTCCCCTACAGTTTCTTTCCTTCTAATTTTGCTCTATGTTTTTCTTCTTATTCTTCCTTAGTAATTTCTCCGGTCCAAACAGACCATGGGGATGTAGAACCAAGATCTGTGGAGTACCCTGAGGAGTTGAAGGCAAAGTTCGGAGTAGAGCCAAAATCTGTGGAAAATGTTGGGACAGCTCAAGTATTGTTATCCAAAAACCCCGAGGAGTTGAAGGCAAAGTTTGTTGCAGGCTTAAGATCTGCGGAGGATGCAGAAACGACAAAGCTGATGCTGTCCAAAGACATTGAGGAGCTGAAGGAAAAGCTAGGTGCACTGAATTCAAAGCTAATTGAGGTTATTGGCTAATTCTCTCTCTCTAAATTCATTATTAATTTGTGCATTCTTGACGAATTAGGTCTGCATTCGTATCATCGAAGAAAATATTCAAGTTTTCCCCTCAATCTCCTTAATCAAGAAATGGTTCACGTGGTGCTCCTCATTTTTCTCTTCTATTTCGTCACTCCCCCCGTCCCATAGAAAGAGACCTTTCTAGAGTCAAATCTGAACAAATTAAGTTGGTTTTATTCATATTCAAAACCTTTTAATTAAAAAGTGTTTTAAAGAAGTTGAGTGTGTCAAATTTTGGTAAACCATCAAATAAATTTAAAACATGGCTATATGTGATGGGGTTTTTTTCTTCAATAGTTATACTTTACTAAAAACAAAACCAAAATTACCTTTGTGAAAAAGGATTCCTTTTATGCAATTTGTTCAATGTTCATAAATTACTTATCATTTAGCAACCCAATAAAGTAACGCATACTCAATAGTTAAAAATGACTAAAAGTAACCCTCCCATATAATGAACAGGTAAAAACTTTGTGTTATAAGTTGGTACATAGGTGTGTAACCCATATTGCAAACTGTTGTGTCTCTAGCTCTAGTTTCACTATGATCAGAATGGGTGTATAATTAGTAGGAGCTTATGAGTGTTCTTTACAGGCGGGACACACAATTTCGAAGCTTAGCCAAGAGAAGGAAGCTATTGCTCGCGAGAAGGAAACTCTGATGCGGGAAATGGTCTCTCTCTCTCTCTCTCTCTCTCGGATCATGCCATTGTTAACAGTGAATGTAATGTGGGATTTTCATGGGTTTGCAGGTTTTTGCGAGGAAGAAAAGTGGTGTGAGAAAAGTTCAAGTGGGATTTCCGCCGCTGTTTGTTTGCATGGTGGCACTGGTTGGTTTAGCTGTGGGGTTCCTTTTGAGGGCTTAATGTGGAAACATATTCTCAGTGGCATATATAAAGTATATATATACACAAGTACTTCACCACAGAGGTAATTTTGTGGGTTTTCATCTTTTCAAACAGCCAAATTCTACTTAGGAGAAAGAGAAGATTGTATGTCTCAAGTCTGAACAATAGGGATAAAAGCTCAAACCCCCTTCTTTTCTTCTCTTGAGTTTTCTCCCCTTGTAACCGTTGATCTTTATTTTATATTAATGGTGTGTTTGGTTGGGAGAAAAATGTTTTATAGAAAAATTTTGATTCTATTTTCTTGCGTCTCGTAAGATTTGCAGAAGAAAAACATTTTTCCGAGAAAAAATATTTCCGGAAAAAATATTCTCCTCCAAGATAAATTTTAGGGGCACACCAAAAGATGTACTCCAAGAGTAAGTGTAAATCATAATTTCTCTATCATAGAATTTTGGGCGTGGATAAGCAAATTGCAAAGTGTATAAGTAATGTGTGATGGGGAGGGTAATGGTGTAGAAATGGAGTACACTTGATGTATTAAATGATTTCCGTTTGATTTTGAAATATCCGTAAAAATGGTAAAATTTTCATTTTCTGTCGACTGACTCCGCCCCGTCCCCACCCTTGTCCACCCTGGCCCCACACATACTACCACTCTCGTTNACCCCTTACCCATCTTGTGCCGCCTTGTATGGTACAAAAATATTGTTAAATTGTTTTAAAACATCTTTTAGTATTAGTTTTTAGATATTAACAATAGAAACTATTTTTTAAGAAAATATTTTTCTTTCACCAAACAACAAAAATGATGATTGGAAAATAATTTTCCTCCCAGCCAAACACAACCTAAGAGAGTGTTTGAGATTTTATTTGAGAATAATTTTTAAGTTTTTACTTCATAAAAGTACAATTTTTAGTATTTATGAATTTACTTTAGCTTTTGAATTATAACGTCAGAGGCAAAGTTTTGAAAGGTGATAAGCAGGCGGCCAAAAGGCGAACTTGGGACATACACACACATACATAAAATATATAGTGCAGTGCAATTCATAATGTCAATCACAAGCAATTCATACATGTTTTGAAAGCGAGTACTTAATTTATTTAAATATATTTAAAATGCCAACTCATTTTTTAAAAAGCCCATAGCTAGTAAGGCGAGAGGCGTACAACTCAGGCAAGGAAAGCAAGGAACTCATGCGAGAAGGCGGACAATGTCTCGCTTGAATATCTACACGTGGTACAAGGTCGCCCGAACGCGTGAGACGCCTTAAGTGAGGGAGGCGCTCGTCTTTCAAAACTTTGACCAGAAGTGTAAATTAAGTTCTAGAAATGCTTTCAGCAAAGCTAAAGATAATCATGCTTTGGTTCTTATTTAGCACTTGCTTTTTAAAAAGCTCACCCCAGTCTCAAATACTCTTTAGCAAAGATGGTCCTTTAATTGCGAGCTTATCTCCCGCACTATTTTTTCTTCTCAAACACAACACACACGTAGTAGAAATGTAGAATATCATTTGTAGAAAGAAAAAAAGGGTGTTAATATGGTGCATTGTTCTTTTACATTTGGTCATACGGAAAGGTAAGATTCTAGTAGGAAAAATGTCATTTTGTTTCACTTAAAAGAGTGGAGCGCTCGCCTTAGACACCCCCGCATTTGGCTTGACAGAGTAATGAAAGAGTAAATCAGAATACTTGAAGTTATAAAATTTTAGTTTGGTGTTTAGAGAATACGTCTCATGCTTAATGCGCATAGAGTTATCACATTAGATAAAACGCAACACTGACGTGATGGAAAATCAATAGTCAAACCTTGAACTTAACCCTTTCCTCAAAATCATCTAAACTCCCAAACTGAAGTGTCATGTTTTGTTGTTTGATTAAAATTATTTTTCATTTAGAAATTACGTGAAAGGAGGCAACATAACTAAGCATATCATTTTGGTAAAAATGTCTAATCAATACAACTTGAGGAGTTCTATCATATATCCAAAAATCACAAACTTTTTTAAACAATTTTTGTCAATGAGAAATAAATATTTATTTGACATATATGAAAATCCACGATATACTTATCCCAACAACAAACAAGTACTTGATTAATATAAAAATTCACCATAACCTTTAGAAATTTGTCAAATACTATAGTAGAAGTGTAGAACTAAGGTTCACACTATTTTAGGTTGACCTTCTGATGAAAGATGATAATCTAATATTTACTACCTTGATGAACTTTTTTTTTTTTGAAAAAAAGAACATGGAGTACTCATTATGTAAGGTCTGCAAAAGTAAGATTTCATCAAACAAGACTTAGGTCTACCAAAGAAAGCTCCTTTAGAGCTTTTGCAAGAATTTACTCCCTCCGTCCCGTTTTAAATTGCCCGTTTTGACTTTTGGGCATATTTAAGAAAAAGAAAAAATAGAATTGATTTTTCGAAATTGCAATTATTTTTTAGAAGGGTTGACAATGAATAAGAAGATAAAGTGGTGAAAAGTGACTAATTTTAGGGGTAGTTTAGGTATTTTACTCTTAAAAGTTTACGAAAACAAGTAACAGACAACTTATTTTGGGACGGAGAAAAAAGGCAAATATGCAATTTAAAATGGGACAGAGAAAGTGTTATACTACGGAGCAAAAAACAAAAAGTAATGAATAAATATACACCGAAATACCTCGTGTTTTATTACATGGCTGGAAAAAAAACTACGTAAAAGTACAAAGCATTTGGACTTCTTCTTCTTTTTTTTTTTTTAAATACAACAGTTGAAACAATTACATATACACAAAATAATACCGTAATGCTAAAAATGGACTGCCAACTTAAAGAAACCCACACATAAAAAAATAAAGTACACTCTCTCTACTCTAATAAATACCCAATATATAGACCCAAGGTCCCACGTACCAACCTAGTTTGGAAGAGGTAAATTGAGCTACAATTTCAGTCTGGTCGATAGAAAGCAGGGCTTGTCCCAGGAATGTACACACAAGAACCTCATGGATCATTCTTTATCATCGTTGTCAGGAGCAGATAAAAAGGCTACATACAAAGCCTACCTGTATCAGTGCCATTGTTGTTGCTGTTCGCTCTGTTCGGTGGGCGAGCCGGGAACATAGGGCACAAAGCCACGACCACCGAAGACGGGTCTCATGAATGCGTCGTCGAATTTTCTCCAGTAGTGGTGGACCGTGTGGGACGGGGTTGCCAGCAACATTCTCAAGCTGGGTGGGCGGGGCACGTGCCCCCCTTCTTCTACCCCCCCATTCCCCTCTTCTCCCCCTCCTCCAAGAAGTGGGACCAGGAAGGACTTTGGGGTGATTGGTTCCGAGGATATCATTCTGCTTAGGTGTTTCGGCGACGGCAGTAGGATTCTGATCAAAGGTTTTGTTATCAACCCAAAAACCTGTGCAGATTACAGCAGAAGGAATAACATTAATAAATGTAAAGAGAGAAGGAATAATATGAGAGTGAATGGTGAAAGTGAAGTTTATTTAGGGGGCGAGGGAGTATTTGATAAAGCATGGGTTAATCACAGTGTTTATTTTAAGTACAGAGGGGACTAGCAATACAGAATGTGAACAAAAGATGATAATGCCTTACCACTGTGCTGAAGAGGACAACGGTAATGGTGCTCGTGATCATAATTGCATGCTCTCGCAACTGAGTGTATCCAGACCTTGTAAACTGCAGAAATTTGTTTAAAATATAAAAATTGAGGCGTCAAAGTACTCCAAGAGTGATGGTAAAGATCATTTTTTAATTTTATCCCCACGACCATTTTAGGTCACTTCCACTTTCCCACTTTTGGTGCGAGACTTTGAAATCTTGACACTTTTAATATTATCAGTCATTCATGCAGCTGAAATTGACTATAAATCTCACATTCAAGTCAAGTTATGCACTTGTAAAGGAAATAAGGAGAAGCCGAACACCTTACCTGGTTATAAGCAAGAGCCATAGATACAGCACCACGCATAAGCCCAGCCCACCATATAATAAACTATAAAAGGAAAAAAATATCAGAATCATATAACAATAACACTAGAAAAATAAGTGGGAGCTGATATTTTATTGAGTGCGTACTTGCTGTCTTATGTCAATCTTTTCACCCGGGGACTTCTTGATCACATTGGATAAAAATGACAATGGAAATACAAAAGCTGCTCTTCCAACCAAAACCAAACCCAAGAGTATTGAGCTAACCTTGATTGATGTTCCAGGGCTGGTCCAATTATTGAAAAGTCAGAATGGCACCCAGCAGAAATCTTAAAACCTTTTGTATATAATATTTACACTGGAAATGTGTTTTTTTAAAAGTACGTTCTGGAATTAGGACTTCGAGAATTTTGCAAGGCAACGGGACAAGGGGGTGGGGACTTAATTTCCATCTCAATGAAAACGTGAGGTGATGTCATAACCACTTACGTAGTATATATTACTGATGGAAATAAATCCCACCAGAAGACCCGACCTGGAGAGCTGAATCGGATTAACGATTTGAAAGGAGTAATAAAGTAGAAAGAAAGCTTGAGAAGATAACAATGGCGTAGTAATATTATATTTCTGAATTCAAGCACCCCCATTTACAATGGCTTCCGTCCCTATTTATAGCTCTATACTCGAGGATACACAAGGAAAGGGATAAGTATGGCAGGTCCGATCTCGGCCCTGGTCCTTCTCCCGGAGAATCGGTCTCCCCTGATCACACGTGCAACCGGCCCATGGCTGACATGGTCACAGGCCGGTCTGACTCGGCCCACTACAAGGCCCGCCTCTTTCTACTTGGGTGATGTGTGTGCTATAGCATGAGATTGGGCAGGGCCTACCCCAAACGCCCAATATCCCATCAATTACCATAAACGGTATATTACTTTTATTTATTTTTATTTAATACTCCTGTTCCAAAATAAATTTCAGTGTTTTGACTTCACAAATTTTAAGTAAAAAATGGGTGGTGGAAATTTGATTAGAGAGAAAGATTGTGAGCCAAATATTTCAGTATTAAATAGGAAAAAGGAGAAGTGTGCCACATATTTCATTCTTAAACAGGAAAAAGGGAAAAGGAAAAAGGAGAAGTGTGAAGTTTATTTTGGGACAATAAAAGAGGAAGGTTTTAAGTATATCTCTGGACAGAGGGAGTAATAGAAGTTGAACCTCACCCCCAAGACTAAACTCCGAAAAATAACGTTAATGATGAAAAAACGCACCTGTCACTTACAAATCTCCATTTTTCAATGTCTAGAGCATCCATGCCAACATAAAGGAATATAAATATCTCAGAAATAAAAGACAGTGTGGCAAAAGCATGCCTGCAAAACAAGTTGAACACAAATACATCAAGGACAGTTATTACTAAGACTTTAATCCGCTTCATCTCAGGAAGAGCAAGAAGCAGAAAGAATGCCATCGATAAATAATTTAAAATTGTAATAGAGTGCATACTTGGTGGTTACTCTAGAACTTTCAGTGACATTATGCCAAGTGTAATGCGACATCACAATCCCGCAGAAGAACACAGTCAAGATGGCACTTAAAGCAAATAACTGCAAAATGTTAAATGTCAGTTTAGCAAAAACAAAAACAAAAATCCAGCAAAATCTCAACTCCATTGGGGGACTATGTGGTCAAGATGTATGTTGCCTTAAAAACAGGAATGACATTTCTCTTAGCCCCTAGATTCATTGTTGCATTTCTTACCCAAAATTTCATTAAAAAATAAGTAGCAAAAGAAGTTTAATGTGTCATCTTGATAAATATAAAAAGTGAGAGCAAGAATAAATACCCCCAATATCTCTGGGACAAATAAGATGTAACTAATATTGAAAATGATTGGTAAGTTTAGGAACACTTACTTCAGATAGCATATATGATAAATAAGCCATAAGAATCATAATAGCAACCTCACGATCGGTGGAATGCCTACAAATACATCACATGATTAGAAATGTAGCTATTTTCTCGTCAAAAAGGAAAGATAACAGAATGAATTGGCTCTGGGACATTTCCAGTGATGGGTAGTTGGATAAGTTGAAAAAGTCTTTTTCTTTTTAACCTTATTGACAACAATACTAGCATGGGCTTTCTAAAAAGAAAAATCACAAGTTATATAATTTCCAAACCTTCCAAAGTAAAGCTTCTTAATAACATACGCACTCAGCAAGCCAGCCTACAGGAAAATAAAACCAAATAAATCAATTATGCAAAATATCTTACGTTCCATACAATGGGCGAGAAACTCACAACAACTCCAAGGAGAGTGCTCAGAATAAATAAATAAAAAAAGTTCCCAAATAATTGCAGAACCACGGCTGAGTTTATATTGGACAAATCAAAGTCTTGAACTGCATTGAACAGGACTATAGATGTTGCATCATTTACAACTCCTTCTCCAAAGACTAAACTGTAAAGTAAAGGTGTTTCATCCTGATTGAGTACCTACACAATCAAACAAATTAAATAAGTATGAGTAAAATGTTTAGGGCTCCTTCCTTCCACAGGAATAAGAGCAACAAACTTACTTGCAATGTGCACACAGAATCTGTTGCAGAGAAAATGGCTCCAATTGCTGGATACAGACAAACACGGATTGATTAGAAAGAAACAGCAAAGAGTATATCACCATTAAAAAAGGCTTGTGAAGGAGGTAGGATTACCAAGATAATCTCCTATCTCAAGATTTCCAATATTCATTTTCTTGAAGATGCCAATAGCTCCTGGTAAATACAAAGAGAGGTGCATTACAATTTTATCATAATAGTGGAAAAAATTGATCATATTCTTCAAAACTTGTGCATAAACCTTTACAAATTTTTCCTTACATTTCTAAATGATAAACCAACAGAAAATAAACCATACTAAATGGTCATCCTGGCATCTTTTATTTCATTATTTTTATATTCTACAGAAACACTGATATGGCTATCCCTGTTTCGTGATATATAATAGTATTGCAAATTAATGGATTTCTTATAGAATAAGCACTGAACAACAACAGGCGGATATGTTGTAAGAGAAGAATTCCAAGTCATTCTGAACTGCGGAAAGGGTAACAATGCTTACCCAATGATATGATGATGAAAGATATCAAAGTACCAACGGCTCCAAAAAACATTATAGTTGAGATATTACGAAAAAATTGCTTCTTTTTCACTTGGAACCTGGTATGATGTATACATGCAAACGGAAATTAGTACTTGATAAGCAGTAATTAAGTTAGTAGCCTGTTGAAACTTGAAACAGAATCTATTTGATAAATACTGGTTCTGCAAATCATGTACGCCCATTGAAGAAATAGAACCCTCAACTAATGCTCCAACTAGCAGGCCATCAATGATACCAATAACTCCACCACNACCATGTCTGCTGGCAAGATCAAATTGTAACATATACAAAACGAAAATAAAAAATTGTATCATATACACAACAAAATGGTGTTGGGAAAACAAAATTTGAACAAATTGGAACTAGAGATCAATTACGATATATTAGACCTCCTGTTCTTGAAGTAAAACCTTTGATTTCATTTGTGAGAAAATACAAAAAGGGAACAAAAGAGTGGACGAGGTAGGTAGGTTTCTAAAATCTCTAACCACTCTTTTCTGCACAACTGGTTGCAGTGGTTGGAATATAGTAGACCATTAAAATTCAATTGTCCTAAAAAAATTAGTCCTAAATACACAGAAAATGGATGCAATATTTGGAAGCAATAGAAACACATAAATAAAACTATAGGCAGCATACCAGTTGAGGATGCATGTCACGAGCTAAAATAAATCACATAAAAGATGCAGAAGACTATACCCAGCATTAAAAATGATCGGTGGAAGAAGATAGATGAAGAAAAGATCTTCGCTGAACACCAAAATGTGTGAGCTTGTCCCTCCACTAGTAAGTAGAATTACAACGCCAGTACACACCCCCTGCGAAAAACATGAAAATCAAATACACACAATTGACGGAGCAGCAACAGGTGCATTACTATAAGAAGCAAATTTGTGTCTGTGTCGCTGCATGTACAAATGAATACATATAGAAGAAACTCACAATCATGAGAGCTGTAATGGATTCATTCATCCAACGGCTTTCCTCCAAGAGATGGCCAATCACAATACAGGCACAGATAAGAGCTACAAACAAGTTCATGGACACCACGGAGGCATGATCAGAGGTTGTTATCTTTGACAACAATGTCCCAATGTCAACTCCCATATTGACACCTCCTTTTTACAATATTTCCAGCAACTCACGACCTAAACACACAATCTCTCTGTCCTCCAACACCAAATTCTAGCGATTTCATGGGGTACCGAGTCCTGTTTTTTTCACAAAATCAGAAATTCACAAAATCACGACATATATCCAAGGGCTCATACATTAAACCATGTAGATATATAAGGAGATTAACCCGCTCAAATAAGATAATCGCATGAAAACTGAATCAAAATTCACGATTGAACGTGCAAAAGACTCACCAGATGAATTCGCTCAGAGAAAAAAAGCGCTGGAACTCGGCTAGAAAACACACCTCGTCGTTCAACCAGCCAGATCTCAATTTCAGGAAAATAAAAAATGAAATTTAGCAATAAATCGATAATCACATGCCGTTTATTGAAAAAAAAACAATAATATTATTATTAGTAATAATAATAATAATAATAATAATAATAATAATAACAATCACATGGCACAAAAAAAGGGATTTAGCTCCACAAATCACCTCCGCTTCTGAGAAAATCGCGGGATAGACGAACAAGATGAAATCGTCGAGCTTCGCGCTGCTTTAATTAACCTCCGCAAGTAAGGTTTCAGCAAGAGGACTCCCCAAAGAGAAAGCAAGTTTCAGAGAGAGGAATTTATAGTTTGGGAGGACGAAGTGGAAGTGGCAAGCACGATCTAGACGGTGTTGTTTCTGAGGCGGGGCCTCTTAGTTATTTCTCCCCACATAATTATTACTACTTTTTAATTACTTTATTATTCTTTTGTTCCTCCTTAAGTCAAGTGAATATTTTGGGTTGGTTGTGATTTGGGTTTGGGCTGTCGGGCGTGACATAGTTTGGCAAGTGGTGTCGAGGAGCTCTCCTGTGACTATGATATTGAAACATTATCTTATTCGATGACTCCGGAGCGCTTTGGTGTCCCGCTCGTAAAATTGACGGTTTATACCTCCTCTAACTTCTCTAGTAAATCTCCTACCCTCTTCAATTACACTCACAAGTTGATTTTTGACTTTGGAATCAAATTTTGACTACAAAGTCAAAATCAACTTGTAGATGCAATTAAAAGGGATAGAAGGGTGTGTTCGGGTCAGGATGGGGTGGCGGGTTTTATGAACGGAACACCGGAGCACCCCTGAGTCATCCCAAGATGTAATTATGCTACGCACTCCCTCCGTCCCGGTGTATTTGTTCAATTTGAGTTTTTCAAGTCAAACTGGACAAACTTTGAACTTCAATTAAACAAAAACTGTAGTGTATTTTTACATGAAAATGACTTTATTAGATTTATTATATTGAGAACTTTTAAAATTGTATTTCATTATTCTAATATACAATATAAATTGAGAGTAATTAGATTCCAAAGTTTGTCTAATTTGACTCAAAAAAGTCAAACTAGACAAATACACTGGGACGGAGGTAGTATATGACATCTACAAATACTTCCTTCGTCCTAGTGTATTTGTCCAGTTTGACTTTTTCGAGTCAAACTGGACAAACTTTGAGATTCAATTAAATAAAAATCGTAATATATTTTAAAATAAAAATGAATTTATTGGATTTATCGTATTGAGAACTTTCAAAATTATATTTCATTATGCTAATATGCAATCTAAATTGAAAGTAATTTGAGTTCAAAGTTTATCCAATTTGACTCGAAAAAGCTAAACTGGACAAGTACACTGGAACGAATGTAGTGTGTGCTAAAGATATGGGTGAAATTAAAAAACGTGATTTATATATTTAAAATAACATAAAAAGTTATTAGAAAATAAGATGTGGGATACTATCTTGTATTATCAAATTATTAAAGAAATAAGTTGTTAAAACTTAGACTCTGGATAATGAAGTGTATCGATTAGTTCGGGTTGAGGGAGCATTCAAAATGAAAGAAATATTTTGGACCTTATATTATTTTCTAAAAAGAGAAAACAAAAGTTTTACTTTTAAGAGCACCAGAAATGCTTTTAACGTCCACTGCATCAAAATGGTGTTTAACGCTAGGGGTGTATACCCGTTGGGATTTGGGTTTTATATTATCCTGCATTTTGTCCCATTTTTTTCAAATGGTTTGGCATGGTTCGGGCCACAAGCTTATCCCTATTTGTCCATTCATATTCGGAATCGAGATTAAATGAAACGACTTTGAGTTGTCCTATTTTGTTATTGTCCGAAATTATATATAAAAATATAGAATAGGTAAGGAGGAAACAATCCACTTTCACTTGCAATATAATGAAAAATCATATACTCCTTCCGTCCCTAAATATTTGCAACATTTGCTTTTTCAGCAATCGCAGAAACTTTTGTTTATTTCTACGTTCTCATTAGTTATTTGATAAAATAAAATATTCTTGACACTTCTTATTTCGAAGAGCTTTTCATGTATGTAGTTTTTTGATATGTAAATTTTATTTTTTATTTCTATACTAATATGTAAATAAAATGAATTGAAAAAGCTTGATATTTTACCTCGGGAATACAAGTGTGACAAATATTTAGGGATGTAGGGAGTAATTATATAGGATGTCTTAGAAATTAAAGTCAAAACAATAAGGGCATCCACAGTGATAGCATCTCTTATTAGATGTCCAAATGTGGGCCCCACTTCAAAGATGTTATTCTAACATCTCTCTTAACATCCAACTCATCCAATGGTGGCATCTCATTTAGATGTCTATACATTTGTTCTACTCCCTTCATCCCCAATTTGATTACAAATTGCGGGTTATGAAGTAAAATTTTCTACTTTTTGAAATCATTTTATTTACAAATTGGTATATCAATAAGTTATAAAATTACATATTAAAAAACTACGTCAAAAGTTCTACAAAATAAGAGGTGACAAGAATATTTTATTTTATCAAATATTTGATGAAATCACGTAAACAAACAAAATTTATCGAGAGAAGAGAGAAAAAAAAATTATAATCAAATTAGGGACGGAGGGAGTATTACATATTTTAGTGGGTCCTACTTCCAAATAAATAAAATAATCTTTAATTTTTTATTTAAAAATTGGTATATAAATAAAAAATAAAATTTATATATTTAAAAAGTACATTAAAAGTTCTATAAAACAAGATGTGAAGAGAATATTTTATTTAATCAAATAATCTAGAAAAATACACAAATAAATAAAAGTTCTTGCAATTTTTAAATAGTGTGTAAATATTTAGGTATGGAGGGAGTATTAAATAATTAAAGTTTTTATTAATACATTGCTAACAACACACCACGGTAATAAATGAAAAAAAAAACTATATTTTAAAACACTCAGTTTGTTTGTGTAATTATTTTAAAACACTCAATTGGTTTCTATAATTATATTAAAACACTCAATACTCAATTGGTTTGTATAATTATATTAAAACACTCAATAGTCATACTGAATAGGAAAATAATTTTTTTTTAAAAAAGTCATTGCAATTGGAACACGATAAAATTGCCATCTAATTCTAAGAAAAAGCTACTCACTCCATCCCGGAGTATTCGTCCAGTTTTGAATTTTGGAACTGCTCATCTAAGCACTTTGACTTATCAAATTCTCTCAATGTGTAAGTCTAAATATAGTCATGTGTGATCTTGTTTAATTTGTCTTAACATATAGATTATTAATATATAATTTCAATAATTTTTTAATATAAAAATTAAAAGATAAAATGGATTAAAGAAGTGTATTGAAAGAAATAAATAAATAAAAAAAATGACACATGGCACATAAACTATTGGAGCACTATATTAAAGTAATTAAAGGAAGTAGTAATTTCAAGTTGGAACATCGGTGCTCAACCTAGCATCTTCCCTTCTCTTTCTTCATTGGGCATCTTTATTGAGCACCTACCTACAATGGTAGCATCTCTTAACATTTCATTCTCTCTCATCTAGGCATCTCACTTGAGCATCCCATTGGAGATGACCTAAGACAGCATGAAAAGTGCTACAATATCTGTCAAAAGTCAAAATTATAAACTTCATAAAAACTATTAGCCACAAATTAGAATGGAACCGATCGTAAAGGTTTGGATTTCTAGTTTTTCAAATCATAGTCTATTCTTTTAGAATAATTAGATCTAGATATTTATTTTATACGTAGTATATCTCTATGAAAACAAAAATTGTTATACTTCTTTGTGTTATATCGTTAAATAAATAAATAAATAAATAAACATATAATCCGTACTAGACAATGGGACAGAATGGGAAAATATTTATGTGTCCCCGTCTCGTCCCATTTTAAAATAGGTCAAAACGGGTTCAGGACAAAATTTTGTTATCCGATCCCAAACAAAATGGGCATTATAAGAACGAGACTGCGATATTTTAGAACATGACAACCGATTCGGGAAGCTTGTTCACCCCTATTTAACGCCATTATTGTGTTAAACACCACCCCTTCCCCTATTATGCAGGCATCACCCACCATGCGTTAAACGTTTAACACTGATGAAGAAGACTCAAAAGAGCCATTAGTCCGATCCATTACCACCCCCATCTCCCAATGGTGGATATTTAGTCGTTGCCAAATATAAAAAAATAATTAAACTTCAACTATAAATATCCTCTCATATTTTTAAAATATAGGCACACAACATACTTATTTCTCTCATACAATTCTCTATTATTTTTCATATTTCTTTAATTTCTCTCTTATTCTTAAAACATATCATGAATCTCTTCGGTCCTCCATCAAGTCTTGAGCCAAAAGAGTATGCAATATGACCTTGCCAAACGTACGGGAATAATATGACCAAGTGCATTGAAAAAAGTGCACGCCGGAAAAGTCCCAAACCTAGCACCGAAAAGCCGATGACTTAGACGTTACAGTCCATTCAAAAATGGACACCAGAGGAAGAAGTGTTGTTGGCCTCTGCGTGGGTTGATGTCTCGGAACATCATATCATTGGTATGCATCCAAGGTGCATCATAGAAGCACTCTACAATTTAATAATTTTTTATATTTTTTTCAATTAAATGAGGCACAATTAGAGCTTTCGGTCGGGTCGGGTTCGATCACATTGGGTTCAAGTTACTTCGGGTTTGAGTAAGTTCGGGTTTGGGTTGAGAACTACATGTTCATGACCCAATGTCAACGGGTTCGGGTCGACCCAACGGGTTATTACTTTTATTTATTTTTTGAAATTTTAAGTACTCCGTAATTTTTATGATGGATTGTCAATATTATGAATAAAAAAACTAAATATGTAGAAAATTTTGAAAAAAGTATGATAATTATGCTATATCATTAAAATTTTGTATGAAAATATAAATTTATACATTAAAAACGAGTAGTAAGCAAAAAAATATAATTAGAATCTTGTTTTTATAATCTTATATTAAATATTAAAGCATATGATTTTGAAAAATTCTTACATTAGCGGGTCGATCAAGTCCGGGTTCGGGTTCGGTGTTATGATGTTTTATTTGAAGTTATTTTTAATAGTTTTAAATTAAAATAGTATAGAATTATTTGAAAATAAGATTATATATGTAAAACTACATAGAAAAAATTAAATCTACAAACATATAGATCTCATGACTCATGAGTACACATATTACTTTATCATGTGAATTACAAAAATAGGCAGATAAAATGAATATAATTTTTAAAAATTACATAAAAAATTTTATAAAATTAGCTATGACATTGGTATATACGTGCATTACTTTTACAAATTGGTCGACAACAAAAATAAACTAATAAAGTGAATAAAATTTGATCGTATTAATTGTGAACGAGAATATAATACTTGAACGGAAGGAGAAATTATCATTATCAATTAATAAAAATAATGTGACCTTAAAAGCTAAAAGAGGAAAAGAGAATTCGAAATTGAATTGATTTTTTCTTCCAAAGAAAAAGAAAACAAAAGTTGGATTTTTGTAGAGAGGGCACGGGAGACTTGTCAAATAATATACGGAGTACTATTTTGTCCAGTTTAACTTTTTCGGGTTAAATTGGATAAATTTTAAACTCCAATTACTTTCAATTTATATTGCATATTAGCATAAAATATAATTTTGAAAGTTTTCAATACGATAAATCCAATAATTTTTTTTTTTTGTTAAAATACGTTAAGCTTTTTGTTTAAGTAAAGCTGAAAATTTGTCTAGTTTAATTCGAAAAAAATCAAACTGGACAAATATACTGAGAGGGAGGGACTAATTGTATAATAAGCAGATGCCCTTTTCGATGATCTGTAGCCCTTCCTCCACCACACATGTGATAATCGGATAAGCGCTAACTAGCATTGGTTGTGTCACATGTGGCCACCCACTTTTTGTCTTTATTTAGAGTACCTATTTGTCTTTATTAGCTCACTTTCACCCTATTAATTTCTTTCTAATTTTTTTATTTAGATTGCTTACAATTTATTTTTCATTATTTATTGAGTAAATTTCATAAATAGTCTCCAACTATAATCAGTTTTTCATATTTAGTTTTCAATAATAAGATATTCCATAAATCATTCTCAATTTTTAAAACCTATTCTACAAATAGTCTTTTTCACCGAATATGACAAAATATTTTGAGTAAACTCTCAAAATGGATCTTTCTAATTAGGTTTTTTTCCAAAGTAATCCTCAATAAGCAATAATTACTAACATTGTTCTTTATAATTAAGATATGTTTCTGAAATAGTATTTTATCAAAAATGCCTATAAAATGACAATTATATCTAGGATATTTTGATGTTCTTTATTATTTAAACTATGAATAATGATTTACATTTTTTAGATTTTTATTCACTATATTACATCACATCAATGGTAAACATGAAAAGTCTTTACATTTTTTACTTTTTTTTTATCTTCGTGTCAAATCAAAATGAAAAAAAAATTTGGAGTGAGAGAGTACTTCACAATTCGTGTTTCTTTTGTTTAAAAAAAGGAATCAACTTTTCACTCTTCGAAAAAAGTTTTTGTGGCTTCTCTACATGCATCACCTTCAACTACTCCTTCTGTCATCTCAAAATAAAGATTTTGTGGTATCTTATTCATTGTTTGGATTAAAAGAGAAAACAGGAGGAGAAAAATGAATTAAAAAAATAAGATGACTGCATAGTGCCTCATTTAAAATTCTATCATGCATAAAGAGTAGTGCTATACCTATATATATCAGATCATACCATGTTATCGCTCATATTATTTGTTAATGTGTACATCTACAAATTCATTCTCAGTGGCATGTGAGTTTTAAGACTAATCATTGTATGGAAAACAACTTGTGACCTATTTAATTTGATTATTGTCTAAAATTCCATACCCAATGACTTGTGATTGTTTAGGTTTTGACGCTGCATTTTGATCCTTTCATTTATTAGGGAAGGAGGAATTGAAAATGTGAAATAAGCTTTAGTGTAAAAAAAGTAAAAATTTTTCATTTATTTTTGTATCATTGAAATGAACCAATAAGAATCTCTTTTAGCATAAATTAAAACTATTTAATTTGAGACCAATAAAATTGATAGATAATTATTTTTATTTTAATTAATTTTTTTATTGCAATCACAAAAATATTTATTATTAAATCATTAGATAGTACTCCGTATAAAAATACTTTTAAAAAAGCAATTTAAAACATTTATAAAAAAGTTTTTAAAAAAAGTTCTTCCAAAGTATTGATGAAAAAAATAGAAGAAAAAAGAAAAATAACAAAGAAAAAAGAGAGTGTGTTGGTGCCAATCTCTAAAACCATAGGGGACCATGCCACTTTTTATTTAATATTTGAAGGGTTTTAGTCTAGATGGACATTGACGTAGAAGTATGAAATGCATTGGAAAAAAGATATAAGTATTAAAATCATAGGGAATGACGGTGCGTATTTAGCAAACCATAAGGGGTATTGGTGTAATAAAATCAAATTCTTTCTATATACAATTCAAAGATGGTCAATAACTTTTAATTGCGTGTTTTTTTAAATGTGTAATTTTACATTTTATTTTTATACCATATTATAAATAAAATTATTTTAAAAAATATGGGGTTTCGGACGTTAAAATGAAGGATTTTAGCGTAGTTAGGGGTCCAGGCCAGGGTAACGTCTCCGGAATTACTTTAATAGACAATATGAAATGACAAAAAATATAAAAAAAAAATGTCTCGAACATTTGTTGAATGTGAAACTTTTTTAATAGCATTGTAAAATTGTATTTTATATATGGATAATTATATGTAATAAAATACACTTTACTAAAAAATTTAAACAAAAACTTTAAAATTAACCGGTCTTAATAATTTTTGTTGGGGGCACATATACATAACTTTTTAAAAAAATTACCTTAAAAAATTAATTTAGTAGGTGCATTAGCCCCCAACTAATGTTAAGTGAATCCGCCACTGGTGAGTGGTGACCCCGTGGGATTCTACGTGTGTTCGCCTCTGTATTTGTGTCTGTTAATGTTTAGTGTACAAATAGGATACCCTTGCTTGCATGCATTGCTTGATACCAGAGTATTCAATATTCTCTTCATTTCTCGGATTTGATATAGGTTTGGTTGAAAAAATAAAATGATAGAACTAGAAAAGGTTCAAAAGGGGGCCGGGAGGGGAATCAAAAGAAACTGAAAAATTAAAACATCTTTAATTCTCTTCTGATTTCACTCTGATTTGTTAGTGAAGAAAATAAATATATTGATTAAATGTGATTCTTCATACATATATCAATATAGTACAAAATCATCAATTTCCATATTAAAACGATTTACCAATCAGAGATTAATTATGCATTTAGATCAAACTTCATATACCGATGAGTATATATAATTCAAACACATCCATTGAGTGATGCAACAATCAAAGGTAGATAAGATTGAATTCAAGATGATGATGAAGTTTTTTTCAAGCTCAACCTCCCCATTCATCACCTTTTCATCACTAATCACCATGATCATCTGTTGTGCAATAATCACGCCGCCGCATCTACAGACTGTCAGCGCCGCCGGCTTCTTCGCTAAAAAGGTTGTTTGGATTTATGACCGGATCCCGAACAATAACACTATCCAGCCTCAGACACCACTGTTGGTGCATTGCAAATCGAAATCCGACGATCTGGGGACGTGGACGATGGCGGAGGGTTCGTATCATAGAATCAGCTTCCGGGTCAACTGGATTGGGACGACTCTGTTCTGGTGCCATTTCGTATGGGGTTCCAAGTACCAAGATTTCACCGTTTACGACGCCGATCACGATGCTTACCCGTTCGATGTGGACATTAATTGGTATGTCAAGGACAACGGATTTTTCCGAAGCGGGGGTGGTAACCCCAACAATCTTACGTACGTCACTTCGTGGATTGATCAACCTTAGTTTAAAGAATGAATCCGTAGTAATAATAAGAAGCAGGCCGGGTATAAGTAATATACGTACTGAGTATTCGTTACGAAATTGTAATATTTTAAAAACTTTGATGGGAAAAGAATGCTAGCTCTACATTGTATACAATGAATGAAAATTTATTAATACTCGCACCTTCTTTTTGAAATGTTATATTTCTATTATAGTCTCGTTGATTTTTTTAATTTTCCACTCAAATATTCTTTTTTATTAGGGGCATTTTATTTTTTTATGAGAACATTTCATTTTTCCAAATAGTGCATGCATAACTAATACGTAGTATTTCTTTTTTAATTTGGGTACTAAAAAAATAAACTTCTAAAAAATTTAAAATTGGGTACTCCTATCAAAATAGATCCGCCCCTTCTTGAAGAGAATGAAAACTATTACAAATACTGCTAGAAAGGTTCTTGGGATTCTATAAAAAATAATCTAAAAATGCATAATTAGTATTTTGCTCCTTGAAATTATATGTATTTGCAATAAACCTCGATCTGTTTAATACTCTCTACTAGTTCTCTACCCCGTGCTACGCACGGGCTTGTTTTTAGGGCTTGGTGTCGAATAGTGTTGTGGTCATGCTTGGAAATTGTAAGTTTTATCTTGTGTTTTGTGTTACGTTTTGTAGGTGTTGGTGTTAGTGGTTAGAGTAGTTTTTTTTGTAGTTTTTAACATGGCAGAAAATAATTGTAAGGTTGGTTGTCGTTAAATAATGAATATTCATATAATATTAAGAAAATAAAACAATTTATGCAAAAGCAGTAGCCATTGAATATAATAATAGATATTTTAAATTTGGTATATGCATACACACACACACATATATATACATCGTGTGTGTGTTTTAACTACTAAATATGATTTTTTATGGTGGATATAATAAATAAATATATAAGAAATGTAAAACAATTTAAACTAATGCTTATGCAACTGTTTAAATATAAATCTATAATTTTAAAATGTATTATATTTCATATAAATCAATTTTTTTAAATGGAATAAAAGGGGAAAATGGTGTAAAAAGTTATACAAAGAGTTGTCTTTTAAAAAATTTAATAAAGTTTATAAAACCCTTCAAAAAGTAATTAAATAATTATAAGATATTAAAATATATTTTAAAATGATGAAGGACATATTAATATAATAATTTGAATGTGAAAAGTATTATAATTACAAGTTTATGGTAATTAAAAGAAATAATCATGAACAATTTTTTAAATAAAAAATAAACTAATAAATGCCATGTGGACCAATAAAATGATGACACTAAGCCATGTGGATAAATATTTTGCCATGTCACACGCCACGTGTCTCCACTACAACTAATGAACTCTCCTTTACATATATACTAGTATACTAGTATTCTGACCCGTGCCATGCACGGAGTCGAACGAAATTTATGTCGATTCTGAATTATTTCAATGAAATTTATTTTTCGGGAAAAAGAAAATATATTACTCACATGATTTTTAATACTCCCTCCGTCCCAAAAAGTCTTTCCTGTTTCATTTTTTGCGCATCCCATAAAACACTTCTATTCCGCCTTGAATGCCAAAAAAACTTTCAAAATAACTTCTACCCACAATAAAGAAGAAATGTTGTAAATTTTAGGCATTTTAGATGTCGGTAGAAGTGTTTTATGGGATGCGCAAAAAATGAAACAGGAAAGACTTTTTGGGACGGAGGGAGTACTATAGATGAAAAATACAAAATTAAAATAAATAATATTTGAGGAACTGAATGTAGACTTAACAATGTTTATTTTAATACCAAATTTTCTGAAAGACTTCAGGGTATACAACATTTTTGGTATGGTTGCAAGGTTTTCCATGGTAATCTAGAACCAATATCTTCAATCTTGCCTTTGTCTTCACTTGTGAAACAGCAACACAACCGACTTGGTTAAAAATAATCCCAGAAATGATAATGTTTGACCTTGACTTTTGTTGATAGTCATACCAAAACATAAGGTGATCGGGAATTGTCTTCTTTGGAACTTCAATGGTAGTCTTGGATCAGATGGTACCAAATTCATTCTAGGGATGTAAGCTTTTTCCCCGACTCAATTTCCCGAAACCACAATTGCACCGATAACATTATTTCGCAGCTCTTTAACGATTAATCTTGTTCCATTATACAATCAAGATGTTTGGTCAATGTTCCTCAATAGCATAATCAATACCCCTTTTTTCAAGATTATTTTATGGTTTGGGATTCCCGAACATTTGATTTCATTCAAAAACTCAACTGTTAACCAATCCCCATCAACACCTACATCTACATTTGCTTGGCACGAAGAATCAGAACTCAAGTACTCTTTTTCATCGCCAGGAATGAGGGATAGGACAAATTCATTTATCATTTCAATTACTTTGAGAGTTGGTGCTAATAGTGCTCTATCCTCAAAAAAAGAATAATTTTTCATATTATCCAATATATTTAGATAAGTGAAATCCACTATACTCTTGATAGGAGAACTTGTATCAAGAATTAAGAATTCGGGCGGGATCTCAACATCACTAACTCCATCCATCACCCGACCTAGCTTTCCATCACACATTTTGATTATCCAATTAGAAAAAGCTTGTGTGTCCTTATCTGTGCAAGAAGATGTGGAAGAATGCAGTCTCATATTCCTGGTCAAAGTATAAACTTTATAGTACGACCACAAATGTGAGGAATTGACTGTAGCACCTAAAATTTCCTCTCTCGAAGCTCTGGGTAAAACTGGAAGGATCTGCCGAAAGTCACCTCCGAGTATAACTGTTTTCCCTCCAAATGGTTCATTTATGTAGTTACTATTAGAGAACCCCATGATATCTCTCATTATGCAATCCAAAGCCTCAAAAGCAAATCTATTCATCATGCATGTTTCATCCCATATGATCAGAGTTGCTTGTTGAATCAATTCAGCTTTCGGGCTCCCTTGTTTGATGGCACACATTGAGCACTCAGTTAGCGCCAATGAGATTGAGAATCTAGAGTGTGCAGTCCTTCCACCAGGCAATAACAATACTGCAATGCCACTGGATGCACCATTCAGAACAACCTTTACTTTTGATCTAAGAGAAGCGGATAATGATTTCCAGTGGAAGGTCTTTCCAGTTCCCCTGTAATCATACACAAAAAAGAAACCTCCTTTTTTAGCTGTCACGACTTCCATTATATCGTCGTATATCTTTTTCTGGTCTTCGTTCATGGTAGATAAGTATTGTCTAAGATCAGATGAAAATTTTTCTCTATCATAGTTCAACTCCTCTACCAAGAAGTTATTTTGAAATCTATTGAGTGGTTGTCATCTAGAAATGGTATACCATCAAACTCTTTTAAGGATCGTCCGTTTTAATTAAGTAACTTTTCAATCTCAATCAAACATAAATTCTTTAGATCTTCTGGGGAGATAAGAAGTTTTGCAAAAAAAAGTTAATATTAGACTAAATTATTTCGACAAAGATGTCAATTCGAGAGTTTTGTATACATACCATGCATTTCATATTAATGTTTATATAAATAATAAAAAATAAGTTTTTATAAAAATACCTTGATTACGCAATATTTTTCTTCGATCAAATAAAATTCCATCAACTAAGAGCTCCCATGATTTTTCCCAAACAACTTTAGGATGGCTCATGGTATTTGTCACTAATAATGTGACAAACAACTTTCTTAATTGACTTCTAGATTCTAGCTCAGCAGCCTCTTTTATTCCCTCAATAAATTATTTATCATGGGCTAATAACCCCAATGCTTCGCATGCTTCTTGGAATGAGTTATGTATAACATTGTTAACTGTCCTCAAGCTCTGATAGCTTTTACATCCTCGTTTAACCGTTAAATGTATTCTCAAATAGTATAACTCTCTAGATCCCGTTGGCACACATTGTAAGTGGCCTATTGATGGTCTTAGTTGTCTCGGGAACCATTTCCGCTCCTTGTTGTTATACACAAAATATCCAGGTTGTTGAGTTAAATCAAATCTAAACAAATATGAAGAATTAAAACTTGACAAATGGTTAGTGAGTTAAATCAAACCTAAACATTACAAAATGAAGAATCAAACAAACATAATTTCTTCAAACAAATCATGAAGAATTAAATCAAACACTTATCATCAGTTCAATATATAGGCAGAAACATTGGTTGAAATAAAACTTGAAATATATAAAAACTTGGAACAGAGGCTAAACTTGTATAAATATTTAACATATGATATATATACTTACGTGTTCGTCGAGGAATACCATTTTTATTGAGTTTATTGCCTTGTTATCATTGAAGGCAGGCAACGTATACAACCGTATCACACGAACACAAATCCTCCAACACTCACTTGTCGGATTGATTTTTAATAAAGGGTGAATGAGCTTGAAAGACATGACGATTCAGCAAACAAATTATTATTCGATTGTAGTTTTCTTTCTAAGAAATAAGAAATAAGAAATCTTCCAAATTCCGTAGCTAAATCAGATTTGTGCATAGGACTTTCCAAGGCAAAAGTTGTGAATCGGACTTACCTAATTTTGAAGGCATAATCGTGAGATTCGTTGTGAAGGCTCAGCAAATTTTGATTCGAACTTACCAAATTTTGAAGGCTTCATCTCGCGATTAATTTCTCACATACAGAAATCACTAATCTTCAGCCAACGATTTAGAAATCATAAGCGATTCTCCAATTTCTTCCTTTTTTTTTGAAGGCCAGCAAATCCCATAGAAGGAAAGGAGTTGTTATGAATTCGAAAGAATTTTTTTGAAGGCAGCGATTATCGCGTAGAAACTCTCGATCAATTGGTTTCATCAGGAAATCCGCTGGTGCACTTAGTATATAATTTTCTTTAAATTTTACTCACTTATGACATGGCGCTGACATGTAAAAATTTTTCCAAATAGACACGCCAAATGTCGAATTCCTGCGAATAGGAGTCTCCTTTATTATAGTAAAGGATATATAGGAGGATATCTTTAATTAAAACTTATATATGCATTGCCTCATGTACTACAACAATTCTTACGCCGATGTCCCTTTTAAATAAAATACCTTTTAAATATTAAATTAATAGCTCCGTTGCCCCCGATGATTTTGGAAATATGTACCAACGCCTTCTCTTTTTGCTTTATTATCTTTTTTTCTTTTTCTTTCCTAAAGAGAAGAAAAATGATTGTGTTTGAAATAATGAAAATTATGTTTCTAAAAATGTTTTTGGAAATATTTTAAACAAATAAATTTATGGTGTTTGAAAAAAAATAAAATATACTTCATTTGCCTCAAAGTAAATGTTTTCATTTTTTTCAAAAAATTTTTTTTTAATTTGTTGGGACTAAAAGAATAAAAAGTAAAGTCTTTTCAATATATATTTATTAGCTATATATTCATAATTCTTTTTGAATCGATGCATAACAAATTTTCTTCATAACTTTCTTTTCCAATTCTATAAATTATAAAAGTATTTTTCATATACTTTTCTTCTTCTTCAATTTATTTTCTATTATTTTTTATTTTATTTTAATTTTGATTGAAATAATGGAACCTTTATAAGACTACTTTTTTTTAAATCATGAAGAGAAAAATAAATAAAATCTAGAAAATGTGAAGTAAGCTTCAATGTAAAAAAGTGAAAATGTATTATTTAGTTTTGTATCATGAAAATGAACCAATAAGAAATAGAAGAAAACGTGTATGTTAGTTATTTTTTGGATGCTAAATTATTTAATATGAGACTAACATGAGACTAACATATAACGTGTATAAAAAATATTTTTAATACAGAACTTTAAAATTAAACATTTATGAAAATGTTTTTAAAAAAAGTTCTTTCAAAGTATTGTTGAAAAAATAGAAGAAAAAAAGAAAAATTCTTCGTAACAAAGAAACAAAAGAGAGTGATTGTTGGTGCCAATTTCTAAACCACAGGGGACAACACCACTGTTTATTTAATATTTGAAGGGTTTTTTTAGTCTAGATGGACATTGACATAGGAATATTAAAAAAAAAATTACTTAAATAGGACTAAAACATAATGATTTTTTCGATCAACATAGAGACATATGCTTTTATTTCACAATGTATGACTTTTGGTCATTATTAATTAGTCATTGTTCAACTAAATGTCTATCATTACTAGACATTAATCCTCCAACTAGCTAGACAATATTAAGTTCTATTTAGAGAATAAAAAAATTTAAATTCTACATTGAGAAATGACTTATGTTTTAGTCTTAATTATTGCAAATTTCACATATTAAAACTTTATTTAGGAAAAATGATATCAGTTTTGAAACAATAGGGGGTAAGGGTGCGTATTTAGCAAAACACAAGGGGTATCGTTGTAATAAAAACAAATTCTTTCTATTAACTTTTTAAAGATAATGGTCAATAAGGCCCTTTTTCGTTCAACTTTTTTTTTCTTATCCTTATTAAAATCAGACTAGAGCAGATCCAATCAGATCAAACCAGATCAGATCTCATCCAAAATTATTCTTGTTATTAGTGTTATTAGAGTTATTATGATTATTATTATTATTATTATTTTGATTATTATTATTATTCTTAAAAATGAAAAAGAATAAACTTTAGAAACAAGTTAAATAAAAAAATGAGAAAGTAATCCTTAATTATTAGACATCGAAAAAATTATTTTTAAAATACATTGAAGATATCAATCTGATTCTACTTTTAAAACATATTTTAATTATTACCAATGAGTTGAGTTTCAAAACTTTTGATCTTTTATAAGGATGAGACA